AAGTATCATGTAGATCCCTGAATTTAGTTATCAATGGCCAGTTCTCCGAAGCCCTAGAGGCCAAGGCAAGTGTCCCCCAGGAGTCACACCTCGGACTAAACGTCTTTTTGATATAGATAAACGATCTGCTTAAGAATATATTCAGATCATTTGTAAATATCTATGCCGATGATACGACTATATACGGGCGCACCTCTAAAAATCTTGATAGTCAGAGATTGCTGACTGAATGCTCTTCTGATATTGCACAACCTACCTAGTGGGGTAAAAGTGGACTAGTTACATTCGATGCCTCGAACAAGCTAGTTATATTCCATCATCATCGGTCGGACCCCGAACTACCACCAATCAAGATGAACGGATATCCCTTCGCAAAGGCACAGTGCCTTGAAAGACTGTTTGGAATCCAACTCACCCGACCCCAAGTGAAACTTTACATACGATCCATTCCTAAGGATGCAGTCAAAATGGTCGACTCCTTTTACCGTTCGAGTATGTATATGACCCCTCCTGTTATGCTCTATCATTACAAGAGCTAGATCAAACCAAAAATGGAGTAGAGTTTTCATATTAGGGCGCGAGCTACCGAGACCCCACTATCTATACTCGATAAACTTAAAAAAGAACTATCTGAGCCCTTCTGGGTGAAGAACTATTCTTGATCATTCAACCTCTCTCCCCCAGCCGGGATATGGCAACCTTCACGCTGGTCTATAGCTATTTGCACGGAAAGTGCTCGGACAAACTATATTTCCTGGTCCCGCCAAGGCAAACATTCACAGCAGGAACACGCCATACCACTTAGATAGTGGGAAAACACGCACATTTCTTCCGTATTCCATCATTGAGAAGTAAGTTCCACTCAAACAGCTTCTTCTGGCGAACCACATTCCTGTGTAACTGACTTCTCCGATCAATAAAATCTAAACCTGTTCAAATTTAATTGTTCCTTTCCACTCCTATAAGCAGGGCCACCGGGCCATGTAGTGGGTGAAAAAGTTACTGTTCTAAGGCGGGACGCTACACTCTTCTAGAATAATGAAAAAATCTTTTGGAACATTCCAACAGACATCAATTACACCGGTACAATCAGAATTTCTCTCAAGGGCCACGAACTGCCAAATATCAGACTTTTTTGCAAGTGCTGAAAAGCACAGCTTCTAAAAACTCATCTTTGAAACAACTCAGCTGAGTGCAAGAGAAGGCCCACCAGTCTTGCGGCTGGCTCGAAAAAACTCAGAAATGATGACCAAGGGTTTTTTTTTATGACATTTCGATGTGCATTGTAAAAGTGAGAGAGATAACCCCAAATTTGTAAGGAAATCTGTTACCCTGTCAAATTATGTTACTTATTACTATGCCCATTACTTTGGAGAATATATGGTGCGACAATTTCTTAAACAAGTTTAAACTAGAGTTTGTCTATATTTCTGAGATGAGGTATTATGTACAGTATTTACATTAGTCGGACTATTGTCCTCATCTTTGTCGCCATATTTGTCACAACGTTTCGGCCGTTGTACGCTCCGGCCTTCTTCAGGTGGTTGGAATTTCGAACTGAACCCTTTATTTCGATCGCTGGGGTAGACTGTTCTAATTCCACGTGACATGTTTGATGGATGTCAGTTATCAGTTATCTCCTGCTAATTTTCCCTCTGAAAGTTCTCCACTGCCTTAACCAGGCAGAATTGAACTCACCTTCTTTGGGTCTGTCACTGGATCTAACCAACGCCTTTATCCACTGTGCCATGTGTCCTTGAGGACATCTGGGTATGAACTTCTGAGTATTATAAACCTAATGTTTTCAGCATCATTTTTACCAGTGCTCATATTGCAATTTTTGCTGTTATCATTGCATGTCTTTACCAGAGTTCATATTGCAACTTTGTTATCATTGCTTTTCTCTGGCACTCCTTATACTGAAGTTTAAACTAGTCTATTTGAGTTTAAAGAAGTCTGAGCTTGCTCCATACATTAAAAGTATAAAAGACCATTAATCAATAGCCTCAGTTTCATTTCTTATGAAGCTTTTAAAGTATATACGTCTTTTGATTATTCAAGTGACAGTGACATGAATCAAAGTAATAACAGCCCTTCTTAGAAACAGGTTGTTTTAAAACCAGCTTGTTGAATGGAATGTAAAGTAACAAAAAATTACTCCTAAATAAAGTACATATTTGGACAATTTTGAATTAGGTAATGTTCTTGAAATGAGGAGCCAGAAACAAGTTGAAATTAAGGGGAAAGATTGGTAGAACTTGAAGAACAGAGGGCCAGAACACTATTTACATTATTCGGACCATTGACCTCATCTTTGTCGCCATGTTTATCACAACGTTTCGGCCTTTGTAACGCTCCGGCCTTCTTCAGGTGGTTGGAATGTCGAACTAAACCCTTTATTTCTCTGAAAGTTATCTCCTGTTAATTCCTCTCTGAAAGTTCTCCACTGCCTTAATCAGGTATTGAACTCACATATTTTGGGTCCTGGATCTAACCAAGGCCTTTATCCACTGTGCCATGTGTCCTCAAGGACCTCGATAAGTCAGTGGAGAACTTTCAGAGGGGAATTAACAGGAGATAGCTGACATCCATTAGACATGGCACGTGGAATTAGAACAGTCTACCCCAGTGAGCGAAACAAAGGGTTCAGTTCGACATTCCAACCACCTGAAGAAGGCCAGAACGTACAACTGCCGAAACGTTGTAAAAAATATGGCGAGAAAGATGTGTACAGTAATCCGAATAATGTAAATATATCCTTAAATTAATTCAACAATTTTTGTGGGTTGCTGATTCTGCAGGTTTTAATTAGGATAGCAAAAAGAAATCTAATATTTTTTTCACTTTTACATCCCACTGACAATCATATTCAAACAGTTCTATTTTATGGCAAACTTCACTGAAAGTCGTGTAAACAATCCCCTCAACTTTCTGAAGGTCCTCAAATGACACTGGCTCTTGAGCTCCACGCAACAACATTCTGAAGTAAAACATTCCCGTTGATTTGGATGCACTGTATATACACGACCAAGTGTGCCCTAAAATCTGATATCTGCAACTGAAGATATTCTATTTCTAGTGGTTCAATTCTTACTAGATTTATTCCACGTATTATAAGACGCAACATGGCGGTATTATGATGGGATCTGTTGGTAATAAAATATTCTGTCAAGTGTATTATTTGGACAGAATTTGAAGAAATCAGTTAAGTTCTTCTTGGATTCATTGCCTGTGTTGCAGCTAATTCAGGTGCAAAATAAACTCTTTCTTCATTCTCTACATGCACTGTAAATAGTTGTACGGCTGGATACCATCCATAAATGGTGAAACTGAATATCCTCAAGAAAGCTTCATTGCTAGTGATGTATCGATCTTTCGGGTAATGATTGATTTTATCCGGATGATTTTAGTGTTGAAAAACAGGTTTTAATAAGGATAGCAAAAATAAATCAAATACATTTTGCAGTATGGAACATTAAAGCCTTTGAAAGTTTTGCATCCCACTAAAAATCATCGTCAAGTCGCCCTGTTTCATCGATTGCTTCTCTGAAAGTCTTGTATACAATTCCATCGTCGCTCTGAAGGTCCCCAAAATACACTGGACCTTAAACTTCATGCAACGACATTCTTAAGTAAAAACATTCCTGTTGATTCGGATGCAGTGCATATACACGTCAAAGTGTGCTATCAAATCTATTATCTGAACTGCCTCCAACTGGGGATCCTCTTTTTCTTGGGCTTCAATTCTTGTTACAATTCTTACTGTATTGCAACTAATTCAGGTAGAAAATGTACTGTTAATTATTGGACGGATTTATACCATTCATGAATGTCGAAACTGAATATCTTCCAGAAAGTTTCATTGCTAGTGATGTATCGACCTTGATGGTATTTCATTTGGATTAGTTTGGATTAGATGCAAACATAAAAGCATCTGATCCTTTGTTTACAGATTTTCGTACATACTTCAGTGAATTTCAAACTTCAACGTTGATGTAAGCATGAAATATTTTTTCAAAAGAAACCTACTGCAAGGAACAATCGATTTATTATCAACTTCATACTGGTTGTCAGCCATTGATTGTAATCCACCATCTTCAGGTTTTCGTCTCTCTGATGGATATCTATCTACACCAGTCCATGTCTCTTGCAAGAAGCCTCTGGGATATCTCTTTAAGCACTTGTTGCTTTTCATACAGGGATAATTACTATTCATTGCACCATATGGACCATGTGTGCTTTCACCATTTCATACAGTTATTTATCTTCAGTTGGAATCTATTATTTCAGTTGAAGTGAACATTCCCCCCCTCAAACAAATTAAAATGTGAGCAGGAGGTGGCTCACGTTTTGCCATTCTATAATGTACATAGGGATTTAACTGGACCAAATACCATATCTTTTATGAGTCAGCCCATCATTTTGATTACTTCAGCCTTTCATGTCTATGAAAATACGACTCTTCTTACACCAACTTATTTTGAATTTATTTCCATTTTGAAATGCTGGTTAAGGTTGTGAATAAATATGTTCGGCCATGTGTCTAACCTATGTCATTGCATCTTGTGTTCTTTCATGCATATATCGTGGGCTTCCGTGGCAACTGGCTGGATCTAATTCTGTTCAAGCGGCATCATTATTGACAGCATCTCTCAAATGAGCATACACTTCAGAAATTACTTTTTTTTTCTTTCTCCTAAGTCATCCTAATCTCTCGGATTCATTTCTGGCATCCATGTCAACTGCATGCTAGGGGGAAAATTGTTGACTTTTGTATAGATGATTGAATGTATACGTATGAATCATGAAATTGTAGGCATAGAAATCAATTGCAGAGACAGTCTTGTTTTCACCATGTTCTGCTCCAGCCTTGGACTTGCTTAAATGTTATCCATCCTCTTCATTCACAAATAAAGATGGATATTGAAATACAACATATCAGCGATGAAGTTCACTTATCCTTTTATCTGATTGACTCTCCTATAAAGTATAATGTCACGATGACATCTATTTTCGACACCTCTCATTATAACACCAACTTCATTTCACTCAGGTGCATTATATCACCGAGAATGTTCTCTATAGCGTTTCTTTTCTAAATCTACCTTGACTGTCAACTCAGAAGGTGGATCTGTCGCTAGAGCATATTTGAAACTTCTCACATAACTATTCTTTTTTTATGTAGCATTTCTTAAAGATTCCAGATAATATCTGTATCCTTGTTCGCTTAAAAACTTTTCTCGGTATGTTGCTACCTATCACTAACAAAGTATATCTGTAAACATTGAGATTCTGCATTAGGTTGCGGTTAAAGTGCTCCTATTCTGTGATAAACTTGTCCCTGCATTTTGAATGTGAGAATAAATTGTCCCTCATGAATGATCTTGGCCATGAATGATGTCATCTGGAACGCATTGTTGTAGTTCCAGATGTTTTCTTTTTAAAGTTCGTATAATCTCTATGCACAACAAAGTTCTTCATCAGATCTGTAGGATCAGGATAATGTTTCAATCTAACCTTGTCAATGGAACGACACGTTCCAATATGTTCCACGTTTTGAACCACAATGGGAACAAAGTTTGTCTATGGAACCAATTTGAATTGAGGATTCAGAGGCATAGTCATATAAAGGATCATAATTAAATGCAATTGATTTGCCGCTGCATTCTTCTTCTTGATTGATGTTAAACGTGGCGTATCTTATCTTGGTATTTTCTTTGGAGCCTTTGTTCCATACTTTTATATTTTGCCAATTTTGTTCATTTCTTATTCTTTTAATGTGAAGTCATAACGATATTTCCTTTTCAGATTCTTACAGTCTCAAATGATCAGATTTGATTGTCGGTCCTAGAAGTCTCTGCAATCTTTATTCCTCAGTATCTCAGTTGTTCAAATCTAACTCTCTTTCCTTGAAGTCTTTATGATCGTTGTTCTACAGATGCTTACTGTCTTCGTTGTTCATTTCAGGCTCTCTATCTGTCTATATTTCTGAGATGAGGTATTATGTACACTATTTAAATTATCCTCATCTTTTTCGCCATATTTATTACAATGTTTCGGCCTTTCAGTATCTGTCGATATTTCTGAGATGAGGTATTATATACACTATTTACATTATTCGCACCATTGTCTTCATCTCTTTCGCCATGTTTATCACAACGTTTCGGCCGTTGTACTCTCCGGCCTTCTTCGGGTGGTGGGAATGTCGAACTGAACCCTTTATAGTGTAGATAACCTATTGAAAACTGAATATCTGAGATAAATCTCTTATAATCCAAGACAGATGAATATGTTCAAAATAATATTTGAATGTTTCATGATGATCAAGATGTGGCATATTGCACCATCGCTAAAACAGTCTGGTACCAGAAAGAATGTATTTTCCTAGATGCTCCAGAACTTGGCAAACTTTTATAACAACTTTGTTACTGGACAAACTCAGAAAAAAAATGCAGAATTGCCAATGACACAACATCATCTGGAATTGCATCCACATTACTAGCAGGGTGTACAATTGTTTCTGCAAAATTCAAACTTCCACTTTTCCTTTATACAAATGAAAACCCAAACTGCAACATTAGCAAAATTCTGAGATGGCGGAAGTTATAAGAGAATGTCATTTGCTTCTGTTTGATGAATGTATTATGATGCATGAGTAAGATGTGGAGGCTATTCATCGAATGTTAAGAGATATAAGAAACATTCAGTCTCTGATGCGAAGAATCACCGTAAATTAATCAGGAGATTACAGGCAAATCCTTCCATTTATAACAAAAGGAACAAAAGTGGATGAGATCCAAGCATGCTTGAAATATTCCAGGATTTTTGCAAAATGTCAAAACCATAAAATCAAAAATAAATAGGAGAGATATTCTGTTTAATGATCGAATGTCTGAAGATTTCCAAAATTAATATTATTCATTGGAGGAGGAGGAACTCCTGTGCACAATTAGGAATGTTTAAACCTGTCATTAATAAGCATCATGGTCCAGTCTGGCAAAAAATTATTGATCAAATACTTCTCAAATATCAATGAACATTATCAGAATAACAAGTGGTTAAGTGAGAGAGCAATTTCGGCTCAAAAACATTACAGGGAACTTCATTAACTTTGATCTATTGAAAATCGTCCTCAGAGGGTGTCATTCTTTTAAGTTCATTGATATTACAGGTGTATTCTTCAGGGACTGTGAATTATTCAGTTGAGTTGTCTCATTAGATCTATCTGTACTACTATCTCACAAATTAGATCTCAGATCTGGTGATCCAATAATATTAAGAGAACTAGATCCACCAACATTCTGTAATGGAACCAGACTTGTAGTTAAGATAATGATGCCAAACCTTATTGATGGAACCGTTCTCTCAGTATATGATAAAAGAGATGTTTTCCTGCCAAGAATACATTTGATCCCAACTGATATAACATTTCCTTTTAACAGTCTGCTGTTTCTAGTGAAATTATGCTTTGCGGCGTCCATAAATAAATCCCAAGGACAAACTCTCTCAATTACGGGCATACGTCTTAAAGAAGCATTTTTCCCATGGACATTTTTATTTTGAATGATTAAGACTTGGAAGCAAAATAATCTCTTTGTTTTCACTCTATAAGGAAAAAAGATTCTTTATAAAGATGTTTCATGAAGTTGTTTGAATTATTATTCTCAGTTTTGTCGACAATTTCTGTTATTATTATACTAGAATAATTTTAGAAAATTGAATTTGAATTGCTGCGTTTACATATTTTACTAAATCATAATAATTTTAGAAGATAATTACAAATTGTATTTGAATTGAAATATTTTCATGTATTTATGTTCTTGTTTTGCTTGATCTTTCTCTTGCTTTCAAAATAATTTGTGTTTAAATACGAGAATTAGAGTAAATTATGTAATTAGACTATTGTATTTGAAGTTTTATGCTTTAATGTGTGCTATCTCTTCGTGTTAATAAAGCAGTTTATAAAATGATTAGATTTTTATGGAATAGGTTATTTCATCCCGAGCAACGCTGCATAATTCTGCAAGCGTTTTAATAATTGCAAACTACTTTTAGAGAACGTGAGACATATATGGATGGCGCTCACTGACCTGCTGCTACAATTAAACAAAAAAACATATTCAAATCAGCGAAACCAATGTCCTTAATACGATTAGCTGACAAATAATTCAGATATTGATTGAATTTTAAACTATATTCAGGGGTATCATCCTTTATTTTATGAATTTCGTTTTTTTCTTTTTTTATCTTAAGAAAGTATGGAAGACTGGAACAAGTAATTTTGAATATATGCTACTTTTCAAGAAAAAGAAAACATTATGAAAAACAAGCTAGATATTTTAATAATCATGCAGAAAACGTTATTCTAAATGATGTCTTTACAAATCCTGTCTTTAAATTACATCATTTTTATTATAATATAAATGACTATTATTTCATGACTCAGCCTTAATAACTGACACAAAGAATCAGTAATCTAATAGTATAATATATTGCATAATATACCAACACATTATGCCATTTTTTCAAGATTAGGTTTTAACGTTTCCTATACATCTAAAAAATAAACAACAGAAAACACAGTTTGTGTTAGTAAATAATACTCATTTTGAATAATTAATATTTTTAACATTTTAATACTAAAATGCTGCAACAGCTAACATACAGACGTTAACATACACACATAGATACACCCCTACCTATGTTTCACCTACGCGGATCGTCAGGACCCTCACGGTCGGGCGTAGGTGAAACCAAGGTAGGTTTGCCTGGCTCATTAGGTTCATAGTTCGATTTGCTCGACTTTGTGCATTGAACACTTTGCTTAGTTATTTTTGCTTTACTCCTGTTGCAGGTTTTTTTCTTTGGACTCTGAGCTTGGATTCTGGACAAATGTTTTCGCCTGAATTACATGTTCTTAGTTCTTTCTTTTTTTCATTCCTTATTTTTCCTTGTGTATTATTTGTTCATTTACAAGCCAAAACACCTAACGTTTTTCCAGACGAGTATAATTACTCATATTTATAAGATTATATATATATATATATATATATATATATATATATATATATATATATATATATATCAAATATGTAGTGCAGTTCAATTTATATTACAATGAATCATTCATACAAAAAGTAAATTAGTAAATTTAATGATATAAAATGCGGAAAACCCATTAAAAAGTGGAATAATTTTTTTGCAACCTGCTTCGTCGTTTAGGACTTCATCGGACGAAATGTGTTACTCTGTCGCGACTACACATGCGTAAGAACGAGGGATACAGGGAATTTTAATTGTGTTTATTTTTTTATTTAGCCGCTTTTATTTACATATTTTTCTTTCCATCATTTTTTATTAGTAGGTATCCCACATATGAGACCTTTTTTTTTCCAATTGCCATACATTTTCCCCAATATTTTTATTGATACATAGAAATCTATATCATTATCGCTTAAATATATTTTCCTTATTTCTATTCAATTTTCATTTATATTCTATATTATTTTCTCTCGAGTTTTTCGTATTCCACTTTATTTCAGTACTAATTTAGTAAGACCATTGTATGAACGGAACCATCCCAATCGTATATTATTGACAGCAGATTCTTTGATCATTCCACTTTCAATGACTTCCCATCTAATTAAGTATAATGAATTTTTATTAAAAAGAAATTTTCAGACAAAGACTTCGGTGGCATACAAGTGTATTCAGTATGTTTCTTAATCGTCAGTCATTTTATCGTCTGTATATTCCTTTTAACGCGCTGTGTTCTATTGATGTACGTACAGGGCTTGTCTAGTTTTTTCAGCTACGAGTGAACGTATTCTATACGTTTAGAAAACTTCGAAGTCGGCATAACGGGTGGACCACCGAACAGTGAAGCCACAGTTTTTTTTTTTTTTATATTAATTCTGTTAACGCTTTATCTCTGACATCAAGCACTTAATAAAATATTTGCTACCCTTAAATGCCTTTCTACCAACAAACCACTGAAAGTCAGCCATTTTGGCTTCAAAATTACGAATCAACCTTATATATATATTCATCCAC